CGCCCTGTTTGCTGACAACAGTGCCATGATCTTTCTCTGTTAGGAGGCTCAACTTGAGAGCATGGCCAAGCATATCCAGCTGTGGTACTTCCTGCTGCGTGAGTTGCAGCAGCGCGGCCAGGTTGGCGTAGTGCAAGTGGCCACAGAGGCAAACGCTGCTGATATCTTCATCAAGGCACTTCCGCCTTGTGCTCATCAGCGATTTTGCACTCAACTTGGCCTAGTGCCTTTATACTCTCACTTGCTTGTATCCTGAACTCTTTTTATACTAGGCTATACCTGTCAACTTATACATCCACCTGAGCTCTCCAGCTACTGCAGCTGTGCGTGATGGCGGACGCTATTCTTCGCCTGGACGCGGAGGGTCGAGCTGCTGATTTTGAGGCGTGGCTCGCTGAACTGTGTCACCAGCTGAAGGGTCAGCGTCAGGATGGCCAGTCTCTAGCCATCCAAATCCACGGTAAGCTGCCCTGCCCCCCCTGCTTGCTGGCCTACCTGACGCCCCCACACCTGCTGAGCATGAGGCTTTCGCTGCTTCCGAGCTCGCTCGCTCTGTCGGAGAGTTGCGTGACGCCACTACGCATCTCGCTATTAGTAACGCTCTCCCCCTGTCCGAGCGTCCCTGCTTTCAGACCCTAGAGACGGCCAAGGAGTACAGCAACGGAACTTTCTGTCCACATGTTGGTCATGAAGTGGACAAAATCAGAGCCCATGAGAAACTGAGCAGGTTTTTTATTTTCTGGTTTTAAGGTTCTAGTTGCTACTGTTATAGGCTTGTGTGACAAATAACATGTTCAAAAAACGCACCATAATAGAACATAGAACAACCAAGATCAGAAGAGGTACACTCGGACAGAATGTTCCCAGGATGAGCCACAGTTGAAATTATCAATATCAATACCGTGTCCATCTCCCCTTTGCCCTATTTCTTGCTGTGATCCTCCTAGGCATACTGTCTAACAGAGATTCACACACGCCAGCCCCAATGCTATCCCAGGTCTCGTGCACCTACTCCCAAGTTTGCAGCATGCCTGTGAGGGGGTGCTCATGCTTGGCGAGCTGCTCGATGGGATTGGGGTCAGGGGGGGAAGAGGGCCATTGCAGGAGGGCGAAATCTTGCTCTGCTAGCCACTCTTGAACGATCCTGCGCTTGGGTTTGGGGTCGTACAATGTACTGGAAAGTCATGCCAGAGATGGTTAAATAATAGAAATCAAGAGCTTGAGCCACCTCGTCCTGCAATATGATGCGATAGGGTTGGCCACCCGTGTGGCCATCAATCTTGCACATGTTACCAGGCACATCATACGTCATACATACTCAAACCATGACTTACCCACCCTCATGCTTCACAATCAACTTCACCTGATGCCCTTGGAGAGTGGTGCCTTCGCGAATCCATGTGTGGGTGCAGCTTTCCGAGCAATATCGAGCGATCCGTATCTCGTCCGACCTGATCACCTGTTTTAAGTCGTCCAGAGTCTAGTCCAAATGGGCTCTGGCAAAATACCGACAGTCGCGGCCGTTGCGTGCTGATAGTTGAGACTTGCGCAGTGTCTGCACGACGACTAACTGAGGCAGCTTGAGAGCATTTCGTGCAGTACGAGGGTGGACCTTAACATCGTTGTACGATTCCAGTGGATACACAGCCTTGATGCCCGTCAATGCGACACCTAACATGATGATGTACACGAAGGTGCGCACGTGTCATGCTGAGAGCAATCGATGTCGACCTGAAGAGGGGACTGTTGGCCTAGCTGCTAGATGACTACTTCTATGACAAGCCTTCATAGCATTTTTTTGGATGATTCTTCTCCCTATTCCTAGCGTACGTGCGATCTGTCGGAAACTCAGAACCTAGCGACAGAGTCTCATGATCCTCTATCTGTGACACGAAGCAAGCGGCCGCGTGCCTACTGGAGGCTCACGGGGTAAGGGGCAAGCATTAGCGAAAGTCTAAGCGACTTTGCTAGCTCGTGCAAAAAATGCTCTGCGGAAACAGATCTAGTCTCTGCTCGGGTAGTATTTGTCCACATCGACCATCAAGCCTTAAAGCTTGTACTCGCTATTAGGAAATCGATATCTTTTAGCGTTCAACATATTTGGAGGTGCATCAATTGTTTCTGCATAATGTCCATAGGTTCCAGATTGATATCTATCCATTTATACTTGCAAAAACATCGCCAACTTGCTCAACAGTGCCATTTTGCGAACAAATTGTTCCGTCGCTGTACCTAGATGCAGTCATTGCTCGCTATTCCACTCCCGCCTCCACCTCTGCTGGCCGCCTCCTCCTGCCCCTCCTCTTTTTTTATCTCGCATTCTTCCCCACTATCGCTGATCTTGCCACTTGCCTGCGTGCGCTTGAGGCTAGCTGCCGCGCTGCTAGCACTGAGGCTCAGCTCACTGTACTTCCTCCCCCCTTGGGTGCTACGCTTTGTTTCCTAGCCACGCGCCTCCCCGGCCGCCTAGCCACCGCCCGCGACGCCTTCCTTAGTCTCCACCCCGCTGACCTCCACCCCGATGATGCCACCCTGTCGGCGATAGAGACCCGCCAGTGCACTATCACTCAATCTAGCGGTACAACGGTGGTCCCCATCTTCCAATATTGTTCTCCCTCCCAGGGCACTTAATTTACTTTGACGGTTCCGCTGCTGTCGCTGAGAACGCCGCGGCGACCTCAGCGCAGCCTCATCAGGGTAGAGCCCTCCGTCGCCCCCGAGGGGGGCATAAGGGAGGGAAGGGGGCTGGGGGTGGTGGGGGTGGTGGGGGAGGTGGCGGTGATGGGAGTGCTGGGAGTGGAGACGAGGGGGTGGGAGCAAACGCCACAGAGCAACAGCATCACAGGCAGCAGCAGCAGCCGCACCGACAGCAGCAGCTGCACCGACAGCAGCAGCAGCAGCAGTGGGGTGCCCCGCCCTCGTGGTCGCTGGGCGGCTTCGATGGTGGTGGTCGCGGAGGCGGCCCTCGCAACTCGACGTCGGGTGGCGGCTCCAGTTCTATGAGTTGTCAATACCAGCATCAGACTGGTCCCCTTCGTGGCACCGTGTGTGACCATCCCGGTCACACCACTGCCTACTGCTACCGCCGCCTCGACAACGTTTTCCATCTCCGCTTCGGGCCCACGACGTTCCTCCCGGACTAGCACAGCTTGGTGCGTCGTCGTATGCCGGTCTTTGAGCTAGATATGGATCAGATTCGCTCTGCTATGTATGCCATGTATGCTGATCACTCTAGTGTTATTGGACCTCATTATCTTGTGTTGCCTATCCTAGGTGTGCCTGCTATGTGTAGTCTAGGCTCCCCTGCTACGTCAGGCGTAGGTTCTCCTACCTTGTGTAGCCTTGGCTCCACGCTAGTGACCTCGCCGGCTGACGCTACCACTCCGCTCTCCTTCACGCTCGACTCTGGTGTGTCCACCTACTTCTTTCGTGACCACACCACTCTCGCGCCGCTTGTCGGCCCAGCAGTTGTCGCCTTTGCTGGCCCTTCCTTCGGACCGGTAGTTGTACGTAGCTTCACCACACTTCCCTATTTGGCGGTTCCCTCGGGCTCTCTTACGGGCCTGCACATCCCCTTGTTCTCCAGGAACCTAGTTCATGGGGGCGTCCCCCCAGGTGGCTACATCTACCCAGGTCGCTGCGGCTTGATCGTGTCAGTCGCTCACTCCCCCGTCACTACTGTGGCACCACCGTCTAGGTCACCTGGCTATCCCACGTCTCCGTCACATGTCCAAGCACAGTCTTGTCTTAGGTCTCCCTGCGTCGCTCCTTGTCCTCCCTCCCTTGCCCGCGCCTCCATGCACGCCTTGCATCGAGGGCCGGCTGCGCCATGATCCTCACTCCTCCTCATTTCCCCCCACCACTGCGCCCCTTCAAACCCAGAGATGGACGCCTGGGGCCCAGCCCTCGTCCCTTGGCCGCGTCGCGAGCGCTACTTTCTGGTCCTCGTAGACGATTGCTCGTGCTACACCACGGTGTTTCCCCTGGAGCGGAAGGCCGACGTGCCTGGCGTTCTTATCCCATGGCTTGTAGCTGCTCGAGTCCACCGCGCTTGTTTCTACAGCACCTGCACCCTCAGCCCCGTTGTCTCCTCAGTCGTCGCAGCAACACTCGCCGTAGCAGCCGCCGCCGCAGCAGCAGCCGCCGTCCCAGCAGAGGTTCGCGGGCTTTGGGGGTGATGGCACTGGGAGTGCGGACTGTGAGGAGGGTTCTCGTGCTGGTTTTGAGGGTGCTGGTGCTGGGGGTGCTGGTTCTGGGGGTCTTGTCATGGCAAGTCCTGGAGGTGGCCGAGGTGCGGCTCGAGGTCCTGGTGTGGGCGCAGAGCAGCAGGAGCAGTTGCCGTCGGTGTCCGCCCTTCACCTTTTGGACCTTCCCTCTCCCGACCGCCCGCCCGTGCTTCCCACGGCGCCGCCTCCTCCGCTTGTCTACGGCCCTATATCCCCTCCGCCCGACTCGTCCCCGACTCGTTTCCCCCCTCGTTCTCCTTCTGTGTCCACCATATGTCTCTTCCTTTTCATGCGTCTCGTGCTCCTCCCGCTCCTCTTCTCTCGTCGCCTCATCAGTCGTCCCTTGTTGTCTCCCCGCCTCCTTTCTCTGACTTCCTACGTGATTCTCACCCTCTTGTTCCTAGTGTCCCTTCCTCCCTTATTACCGACCCCTCCGTTCCTGTCTCCAGTCTCTCAGCTCTTGTCGCTGCCGTCACAGACTTTGCCTCTACCCGCCGCCTTGACTACACCACCGCTCTGTTAGGATTAAGGACAGAGTCTAGGTGAACTTAGGAGCTAGAATTACTCAAAATATAAATCCGAAATTCTGGACAGAAAAGTCGTCTTCACAAGAAACGACGTCGACAAAAACCTAGCCGTTGGAATGTCGCGAAACTTGGATATGTTGTAGCTCTTAATCTCAGCTACCGTTCCCAATTTGAATCACGTTGATTGATGAAGTATTCGCGACGCTATGGCTTTCGACGCACTAGGGGGTAAGCTGTAGGAGGAGAACTTAACTCAATCTCAAGAGTTCAATCAAAGTTCAAGAATCTCACAAGGAATTTGAGGAGCAAGAGAAAGGTTGGGATAGAAAGAGAGGGACGAGAGGGAAGGTCCCAAGAGAGTCCCCAACCAAGGAAACCCCATAAGCACAAAGATTCCCTCCCTATAGGAACCTCAACTTTGACCTTTGTCCCTTCCCAACCAATCCATCCAAGTTGGCCACCCTTGCCAACCTAGCTTGGTTGTTCCCAACCAATTTGCAGCTGTTACAGTAGAGTGACAAATTTCCCCAACCCCAAAGGTCCCAACTCCATATAGAGTCACCCCACAACTTCACTTTGTAACCGCCGCAATTGTAACGCAAGCTCATGAACTTTGAATCTTCATAGCTTTCGCGTTCTTGCTCCGATTGAAGCGATTCTTGTTGCGTCGGAAAGATCTTCTCAAGATCTATCATCAAAATACCTGCTCAAACAAAAATAACACAGAACACATTCCCAAACTCCAGAACACACCACACACAAATTCTTTCACATTCAAACCACACATGCAAGTTGAAAACATGGGATGGGAGGCAGACAGAATGTGATAGCATATGATGACATCACACAACAATCTCCCCCTCTGGCTGCCAACCATCATCGACCATACCACATCTCAAGCATGCATACTCAATGCACACTCATCCCAGCAAGCTTCATGCCCTTCCAATGATCCGCCTCCGCCAGACGCTTAGTGAAAATATCTGCTGCCTGCTGATGGGTCTTCACTATCTCCAGCCGCACCTCCTTATCAAGGATTCTCCTCACCCAATGCCACTTAGGCCTTATGTGTTTTGTCAGCCCATGCAGACAAGCATTCTTGGCGAGCTTCACAGCGGACTCATTGTCACAAAACACAACTGTCGGCTTCTCCTGACCAACTCCCAACTCCTCCAACAAACGCCTTAGCCACACTACTTCCTTGGCCCCATGGTGTAAGGCCATGTACTCAGTCTCACATGAAGACAATCCCACCTCATTCTGCTTCTTGCTGCGCCAGCTCACAGCACCACCTCCCAGCAAGCACACATAACCCCCAATGCTGGTGCCATCCGCTTTCACTGAGTTGAAGCTAGCGTCAGTATAGCAACTCAAGAGCATCTCACCACTCTTCACATCTGCAGCACCTCTCTGCAACCGCTGCCTCACTCCACTGTACTCCAATCCCACTGATGCCGTAGCACTCACATAGCGGACCAACCTCTTGGCCGCTTCCAGCTGCTCATGACTAGGACGTGAAACCACGCTAGCCAGTCGTGATGTAGCAAATGCAATGTCAGGCCGTGTATGATTTGCAGCATAATTCAGCGACCCAACCATCGAATGAAACAGCTTCCTGTCACTATCACCCACTACCTCCTCATCAGCACATGGCTCCACAGTAAACCCTGAAGGTAGTGGTGTTGCTGGCTTTCCCCCATCTTGCAGCCCATACTTCTCAGCCAGCCCCTCACAGTACTTCCTCTGGTGCAACCTCAGCACACCCTTTTCCACATCTCTCTCCACATGCATCCCCAAGTAGTACTTCGCCTCACCCATCTTGGAGCACTTGAACTGCATCTCCAGCATCTGCTCTGCGCTGTCCAGCAAAGCAGTTGATGCAGAAAAGAGAAGGATATCATCCACATACACCAAGAGCATGAGGATTTCGTCCTTCTCCTGCAGCAGGAACAGGCTGGGGTCACACTCACTCTTCTTGAAACCCCCAGCCAGCAGCGCCTCCTCCAACTTGTGATACCATGCACGAGGCGCCTGCTTAAGGCCATAGATGGCCTTCTTCAGCCTGCAGACCCTGCCGCTCCCATCATCCAGCCCCTCTGGCTGCTTCATGTACACCTCCTCCAGAATGATCCCATTCAGAAAGGCAGTCACAATGTCCATCTGCCGAATCTTCCATCCCAGGAGTGCAGCTATCGCCAACAGCACCCTCAATGTTGTTCCTTTCCCCACAGGAGCAAACACCTCATCATAGTCCTTCCCCTTTGTCTGCTGAAACCCCCGTGCCACAAGCCTAGACTTGTAGCGGGTCAGCTCCCCTTCAGGTCCATACTTGTGCCTGTAGATCATCTTGGAAGTGATTGCCTTCTTCCCAGGAGGCAAGTCACACAGGTCCCATGTCTCGTTTTCAATCAGGGACCCGAACTCCTCATCCTCACTCGCCTTCCACTTCTCCCCATTTGGTCCATTCAAGGCCTCCTCTCGAGTCTTGGGCTCAGGGATTGGTGCCCAGTAGCAGTGAGCGATCTCATCTTCCTCAATCTGCTCAACCACACTCCCAGCCTGCACCACATTTGGCTTGCCTCTTCCCCCATAGGTCAGCCTCACCGGAGGGCGCACATCCCTCCTAGGTCGCTCAGGCGGGTGTGGAACTCGAGATGGAGACTCATGCTGCTGCTGCTGCTGCTGCTCTACTTCAGCTGCTCCCCCTTCCTCAGTCACCCCAGACATCTCCTCCTCTGACACTGCAACCTCCACCTGTCTTGAAGGCTGCTGCACCTCATCTGCCTCCACAATGAGCGGTGTAGATGGAAGCTTCTGTTGCTGCTGCTTCCATTCCTTGTAGTACAGGGACTCAAGAAACTTCACATCCCTTGACACTGTCAACTTCTGGGTGGTCAAGTCCCATAGCAGCCACCCCTTGTGATCCTTTGCAATCCCCAAGTGCACACCCCATCTTCCAGAAGCCTCCAACTTCCCCCTTTTCTCCTTAGGCACATGAAACACCACCATGCACCCAAATGCCCTCAGCATGTTCACAGCTGGAGCACTCCCATACCACTTGACGTATGGGATCCACTCCTTATCTCCAACTGTAGCCAGCACCCTGTTCTTCACAAGGGCGACCTGCCTCAGTGCAGACACCCAAAACGGATCAGGCAGCCCTGCACGCCCAAGGAGAGTGCGTGCCCCCTCCTGCAGGGTCCTGTTGAACCTCTCAGCCACGCCATTCTGCTGTGGGTTGTAGGGCACTGTCAGTTGATGCTGGATCCCCTTCCTCTTCAACTCCCCCTCAAAATCAGCTCCAATGAACTCCCCACCATTGTCACTACGGATCACCTTCACCTTGTGTCCGCATTCCCTCTGAGCTCTCGGCATCCACTCCTTAAGGACAGCCGCTGCCACCTCCCCCTTGCTCTTCAAAGGGTAAACCCACACTGCCCAAGTGTGGTCATCCACAATTGTCAAGAAATAGCGGCTGCCTGAGAGGGAAGGGGCTCTTGTGGGCCCCACCACATCCATGTGCACAAGTGCAAGTGGGGTCTTGGATGGTCCAGTTGCACTGTTGAAGGGGAACTTGGAGAACTTGGTCTCCAAGCATGTAGGGCAGCTCCCAATCTCCTTCACTTCCCCTTTCACCTCCAAGCCCTTCAGGCTCCCATTCTTCACCAACTTCTGCAGCATAGGGAAGTTCACATGACACAACCTCTCATGCCATGTCTCCCAATCGGCCTCTCCACTCCTTGATGAAGCCTTAGCCCATGCCGCACTCGCATCCACACCAGCAAGCACCTCACCATGTGTCTGCTGCTTCTGCACTTTCTTGACTGCTTCCAGCACCCCATCAGTTGGTGCAGTTGCATCTCCTCCTGCTGTTGCCTTTGCCACTGCTGCCGTTGCTGCTGTTGGAGTCTTCCCATTCCAAGGGATGATGGGCAGCTGCCACAGGTCCTTGATGCAGCTGGTCTCCTCTTCCAGACTCCACAGCACCTTCTTCCCAAGCTTAGCACGGCAGCTGGTTGGTCCAAAGGTCACTTCGGCCTTACTCTTCTGCAGCCGCCGCACAGAGAGAAGGTTAGCAGACAAGCCTTTAACCAGCAGAACATTCCCAAGCCCCACAAGCTCCCCATTAGCTCCCTTAACCTTGGCATTCCCAACACCAATCACGGGGAGCAAAGCACCTGACGCTGCTGCCACATACTTAATCTTCCCAGGGGGTTTTACCTCATCAAGCAAATCTGCCCGTGGGGTCATGTGACTGGTGCAACCCGAATCAATCACCCAGTGCGTGAGAGGGTGCATCACAACCTTTCCCACAAATCCCACATCACCCTCATGCCCATGCACATCCTCAACCATAAGAAACAAACCAGGATAGGCATTACCTTGTGCACCTTCACCTTGTGCACCTGAGCCTTGCACAGCGCCACCTTGTGCGCGTTCACCACTGGGTGGCTTCATGCCTGGAGGTGCCCATCCCTCCGGCCTGCTGAAGCACTTGAACCAAGGATGCCCTATCTTCTTGCAGTACCAGCAGGTGCCCTCCATTCTGGTACTCCCCCTGCCACTAGAGCTCCCATGCCCCTCATTATAGTCACCTCGGCCTCTACCTCTGCCAAAGCTCCTCCCACGGCCTCGGCCTCTCCAACCCCCTCTTCCTCTGCCGCGCCCTGCAGCTCCATACCCCTCAGCAGTCTTAGTGGCAGCACCGCCTCCCACATGGCGTCTGCGGAAGTCCTCCTGCAGAATCTGCTGCCTTAGCCACTCAGGTGTCCATTGATCTTGTTGAGAGTTGAGGGTGGGGATGAGGTTGTCCCAAGAGTTGTCCAACACCGAGATGATCTTGGTGCACTGCTGCAGCTGAGATACACTGCTGCCCGCTGCTGCCATCCTTGCATAGGTGTCCTTGATCTTGTCAAGGACCGGCTTCACATCGTCCCCTGGTCGCATGGAGATGGCAGCAAGTTCCTTCTCGAGCACGATCACCATCGGGAGAGTGTTGGGCTGAACCACATCACGTAGTAGTTTCCACGCCCTTGGACCCGAATCATCCGCTTCCACAAGATCCTTGATGTGCTCGAACATCTCCTTGTTGACCGATTGAAGAATGAGGTCGAAAAGCACCGCGCTTTTCTCAATCCACCGTTCACGTGCTTCGCCTTCTTCCGGCATCTTCTCTTCCCCAACAGCAATCTTCAGGAGCTTGTAGCGTTTGAAGGCACTCCTCATCCGTCCGCTCCATTCCTCATAGTTGGAGCCATCCAAAGCTTCAACTTTTGATGGCGGCGGCTCACTTGTCTTCTCAGCTACAGCTCCTCTTCCATTAGCATCTCCTCCTCTCTCATTCATCTTCTCCTTGAGAAATGACGAATTTCAGCTCCCCTTTGCTGTCCACACTCAGCTCCCTCGATATTTTCACAAGTGTCGGCGTCCACGAAATTTCGGCAGAGTTTCCCCTTAGCGGAAGACACATCCAACCTTTAGAACACCACTTAGGCACACCCACAGGCCATGGTGGGTCTAGAAGGGTCTTCACACTTCTGTAGACTCCTCTCAATGTCCTTAATATTGCTCTGATACCACTTGTTAGGATTAAGGACAGAGTCTAGGTGAACTTAGGAGCTAGAATTACTCAAAATATAAATCCGAAATTCTGGACAGAAAAGTCGTCTTCACAAGAAACGACGTCGACAAAAACCTAGCCGTTGGAATGTCGCGAAACTTGGATATGTTGTAGCTCTTAATCTCAGCTACCGTTCCCAATTTGAATCACGTTGATTGATGAAGTATTCGCGACGCTATGGCTTTCGACGCACTAGGGGGTAAGCTGTAGGAGGAGAACTTAACTCAATCTCAAGAGTTCAATCAAAGTTCAAGAATCTCACAAGGAATTTGAGGAGCAAGAGAAAGGTTGGGATAGAAAGAGAGGGACGAGAGGGAAGGTCCCAAGAGAGTCCCCAACCAAGGAAACCCCATAAGCACAAAGATTCCCTCCCTATAGGAACCTCAACTTTGACCTTTGTCCCTTCCCAACCAATCCATCCAAGTTGGCCACCCTTGCCAACCTAGCTTGGTTGTTCCCAACCAATTTGCAGCTGTTACAGTAGAGTGACAAATTTCCCCAACCCCAAAGGTCCCAACTCCATATAGAGTCACCCCACAACTTCACTTTGTAACCGCCGCAATTGTAACGCAAGCTCATGAACTTTGAATCTTCATAGCTTTCGCGTTCTTGCTCCGATTGAAGCGATTCTTGTTGCGTCGGAAAGATCTTCTCAAGATCTATCATCAAAATACCTGCTCAAACAAAAATAACACAGAACACATTCCCAAACTCCAGAACACACCACACACAAATTCTTTCACATTCAAACCACACATGCAAGTTGAAAACATGGGATGGGAGGCAGACAGAATGTGATAGCATATGATGACATCACACAACACGCTCTAGTCTTTGACCCTGCCCGTCCTTCATCCATCGGGGGTGCACTTGCCCTTGGCAGTGACGTTCTAGAGGACAAGCAGTACGAGCGAGTTTTCCTGTCCGAGGCCGCTCCTCATCTCTGCTCCATGCTGCTAATCCCTGAGGGTGACCTAGACACTCTTGACATCCCGACACCTCGCACCTACAGTGAGGCGACTTCGAGACCCTGGGCCTCTTAGTGGATAGTTGCCATGGACGCAGAGATGGCATCTTGGAGATCCACCAGCACATACGTCCACGCAGGAGGAAGCGAACGTGGGATGAGCTCACGTGGGGGAGAGAGCTGGGGCCAGTTACGCAATAGGAGAGTACTAGGGTGGGAAGTGCACGCAATGGGAGAGACGGTTGGGACCCGTAATGCGACGGCAGTGTAGGGAGGGAAGTAACGCGATGTGAAAGGGGGGATGGAAGCGTCTTGCAACGGTTGAGAAGAGCGGGGCGAGTGCGCGATGGAATAGCGGGGAGAGGAGAGTTGTGCGACAGGAGGAGTGCTAATGGCAGCGTGGCTCGATTTGCAGATGTTTACACGTTTTTGCTGCTGTGTTCTGGTCATCGCGGCCCCAGTGTCGCAAGTTTGTTCGGGGAGGACGCTGTGTCGTGCATCTATCCCACATTTCTCGCCGGATTGTCGACGGGGCGCGTTAGTTACTGCTACTATCGCAAAAATCTGCCGCCTAAAATGCCACGTTCTAAAAAACTCCTAGCTAGTACACCGCACCAAAATCAAAGTGGGGGTCCTCTTGAAAACGCCGGGGGAGGGGCTGGTCGCCAGCGTGGTCGTTGAGCTAGGTTCAGCGACGAGGGAGGTTAAGTCGTGCGGCAACTTGGGTGTCGCCGGCAAAATGCCACTTCCGCGCGCCAATGACTGTCCTCGCTCCTTATCGCTTCCGGTTTTGGTTGTGTTCATATTTTGTTCAGAGCCAAAAGCAGGAAAATTTGAGTGCCAGCAAAAAATATACAAGTTTCAAGTGAGCCCCTGCTTTGTGTTTTTAGCCAGGGGCTTTAAACACCCATCCCCGCTCAAGCTACACGTGGGGTGCTGAATTCTGGCGGGTACTATATACGGGGGAATACGGTACTCACTGTCATTGTAACAATACCTGCTTCTGTTGCTACACTTGCTGACTGGCCTCTTTGCCCCTATCTTAGTGTACAGACTAGTAGTGCTACCCTGAGTTACTGTGTTATATCCACCAGAGGCCAGACTAGGAGTGCTGCCTTGGTTTTCTCTGGTTTGTTAGACGCTGTCACTACCATATTCCCCCGGAAATATGCGCCTAGGTGCATTCAGGGATTATAGTCTCAAAATGGGGGGTGCGTTTATTCAATTTT